GGTGCCCCTCTTCTACATGGAGCTGGCCCTGGGGCAGTTCCACCGGACGGGCGCCATCCCCATCTGGAGGCGCATCTGCCCCATCTTCAAAGGTGAGAGGTGGTCACGCAGACAGCACGGGGCCAGCCCGGCTCTGCCCCGGGCACAGGCATCGGGATCCCGTCCCCCTCTCTCCCCAGGCATCGGCTTTGCCATCTGCATCATCGGCCTCTACGTCTCCTTCTACTACAACACCATCATCGCCTGGGCTCTCTATTACTTCTACTCGTCCTTCTCGGGCACCCTGCCCTGGGCGAGCTGTGACAACCCCTGGAACACCCCCAACTGCACCAATTACTTCGGGAGGAGCAACGTGACCTGGACCAACTCCTCCAGGTCCCCCGCCGAGGAGTTTTATACGTAAGTGCGGTGCAGGGACAATGGGTTTGGGCTGGAGGCACTCGGCTCTGACACGTGGGGTCCAGGAGCAGGGTGCCCACCCAGGCCATCGCATGGGGATGCTCTTGGGGTGCTCACGACCCCTGCTGTGGGGCAGAGGGGGCTGTGGGGCCGCCTGCCCGCTGCCAGTGCGCCCTCGTGCAGGGCCAGCAGCACCTGAGCCCCTGCCCGGCCGCAGGAGGAAGGTGCTGGAGATCCAGAAGTCCGGCGGTCTGTACGATGTGGGGGGGATCCGCTGGCAGCTGCTCCTCTGCCTCTTCCTCATCTTCACCATCGTCTACTTCAGCCTGTGGAAAGGGGTGAAAACCTCCGGCAAGGTGAGAGGGCCCCTCAGTGCCAGGGCCACGCGGTGCCCAGTAGCTGCCCGGTGATGCAGCTCACCTGGCTGCCTAAATTCGGGGCATGGCCTTTGGGGCAGTGCCCGATGCAAGCGGTGTGGGTGCTGGAGGGATGACGGCCACCTCTGCTGCAGGTGGTGTGGGTGACGGCCACGCTGCCCTACCTCGTCCTCCTCATCCTGCTGGTCCGCGGGGCCACCCTGCCCGGTGCCTGGCGAGGGGTGCTCTTCTACCTGCGCCCCGACTGGGGCAAGCTCCTGAGCACGGCGGTGAGTGCTGGGGGGGACACGCCACGAACGCAGCCCCCCTCCTGCGGTGAGGTGCTCTTGGAAATGTAAATCTCTGATTGAATCACCCATCTCATTGCCAACGCCGTTTGTTCGTGCTGTGTTCTCGCCCGGCTCGACAATAGGCTTCCTGTGGGTAATTACCAGGCAGCACTTGAAAGTCCTCATTAAAGATAATCAGGGCTGTGCTGCCGGCGCTGAAGCTGCCTGGACTGGGCACGGGGGGCTCGGGGGCTCCCCCGGCTTCATCTCCCCTTGGGATTTGGGGAACCGCCGGTGCCGCTGCCTCATCCTGTGGCTGTGTGGGTCCCAGGGGAAAGCTGCTGCCTCCAACCTGGGCATCCCGGGGGACGGGGCAGGGGAAGGAGCCACGGGCACGAAGCAGCACGGACCCTCATGGGGCCCGTCCCTGAGCTGTGGGGTGGGTATCATGGGGCCATGGGGCTCCCACCTGGCCTCCAGCCCAGTGTCGTTTCTCCTGCCAGGTCTGGGTGGATGCTGCTGCGCAGATTTTCTTCTCCCTGGGCCCCGGATTCGGCGTCCTTCTGGCTCTGGCCAGTTACAACCACTTCCACAACAACTGCTACCGGTGAGCACCCACTGCGGGATGCGGCATGGGCATGGGGCTCGCCAGCCCCCGGCCCTGCCGGAGCATTTCTGTCCATTTCACCACCAGTTTGGGTGTGGGGCTGGGACCCGGTGGCGTTGCAGGAGGGTCCTGCTGTGGGATATCTCCCTGCTTTCTGCCTTCCAGGGACGCGCTCGTCACCAGCGCGGTGAACTGCCTCACCAGCTTCCTCTCGGGCTTCGTCATCTTCACCGTGCTGGGCTACATGGCCGAGATGAGGGACGTGGAGGTGGAGGACGTAGCCAGAGACAAAGGTTTGCCTCCTCCAGCTCCAGTGTTCCATCCTACCCAGCCCTGCAGTGCCCAGGGCTCCGTGTGCCCACCGGGGCTGGGGGTCCCCGAGCACCTGGGGGTGCTGGGGCTTGGCATGGAGGGCAGCGAGGTGCTTTGGGGCATCCCCCCACGTCCATTCCCACCACCACCAGCACCCAGGGCTGTGCCGGAGCAGCCGGGGGAACAGCAAAGCAAACCCACCTCCCCTCCTAGGTCCCAGCCTGCTTTTCATCACCTACCCCGAAGCCATCGCCAACATGGTGGGCTCCACCTTCTTCGCCGTCATCTTCTTCCTGATGATGATAACGCTGGGGCTGGACAGCACGGTATGACACACCTCCACGACGCACCGGCGGTGGCAGGGGGAGCAGATTTGCTGTGTCTCATTCCCCCGCCTCACCCCGGTGTTCCCTGGGGCAGTTTGGGGGCCTGGAGGCAGTGATCACGGCCGTGATGGACGAGTACCCCCAGGTCCTGGCCAAGCGCAGGGAGCTCTTCGTCCTCGGCCTCATCACAGTCTGCTTCCTGGGCTCCCTGAGCACCCTCACCTACGTGAGTACGGCTGGGGGCAGGCTGGGGGCCGTTTGCTTTTCGCTCAGCCAGGTTTGTCCCCGTAACCGAGCTTGGGGACGTGCCCGTTTGGGGCAAGCTGCCACCCCCGGTGTTGCTGCAGGGCGGCGCCTACGTGGTGAAGCTGCTGGAGGAGTTCGGCGCGGGCTGCTCGATCCTGGCCGTGGTGCTGCTGGAAACGATAGCCGTGTCCTGGTTTTATGGTGAGAGCCTGCCTCTGCTACGAAGCACCTGGAAACCCGCGGGCACCGCACGGGTGCTTGGCCTTACACACCCGAGGGGATGCGGGGGGCTCGGGGGCAGGCGTGCGGCTCCTGGTGAGGCTGTGATGGGGCCGAGCACCGTGCCAGGGTCTGGGCCCCCTCGCTGCAACCCAGAGATGTCTCCATCCTCCGGCAGGGATCCAGAGGTTCTCCCACGACGTGAAAGCCATGCTGGGCTTCACCCCGGGGCTGTTCTGGAAGGTGTGCTGGGCTGCCATCAGCCCGGCCTTGCTGGCGGTGAGTACCTGCGGCCTGAGCGTGGTGCTGAGCTGCCACCTCCCCTGCTGCTCCCAGCGAAGGAGAAGCTCTCCTCGTGCTGCTGCTCCGGCCGTGGCACCGTGGGTGAGACATCAGGCTGCCCACAGTGGGTTCAGCTAAAAAAAAAGGAGACAAAAGTACATTTTCCAGCCTCTTCTGCTGCTGTGCTCCCAGGCAAAGCTCAGAGCTGGCAGCTGGGTGCTCCCACGGGTGCTGGATGTGGCCCTGTTTCATCCTCATGAAAAAGATGACCACCCAGACATGGCCACGCTGATGGCACCGCAGCACCCGTCCGGATCCGTCCCCTTTGAACGCCAGCCCCCGCGCTTCAAAGGCTGCCGCCGGCGAGGCGCAGAGGGGTCTGATCTGCCAGATCTGCAGGAGGAGAGGCTTTGCAGGGATTAATTACGGCTCTGAGTGCTTTACCTAGGTTATTAAGAGAAAACTATTGCAGTCGGAGCAGACAGCAAATGGCTCCATTTCAGCACGGGGACGTGCGGCCCCTGAGGGCTGCAGTCCCAGCAGGGTTTGTTGGACGGAGGGTGCTCAGCCCCGGTGCTTGTGCTGGGGTTGGGGTACCTGCCAGGGCTGCTCAGGATGATGTGGGACATCCAGCCCTGCTCCAGCCCCGAGCATCGCTCCCAAATAGGCTTTTTTTGGTTGTTGCAGTTCATCGTCATCAGCTCCCTGCTGGAGCAGCCTCCCCTGGTGCTCTTCGGCTACCAGTACCCGGCGTGGAGCACCTCGGTGGGGCACCTGGTGGGAGCATCCTCCTTCGTCTGCATCCCCATCTACATGGTGTACAAGCTGGTCTGGACGCCCGGCTCTCTCAAGCAGGTCAGAGCTATATCAGCGTGGCCCTGGGGGCAGGACGCTGTCCCTAGGTGTCTCCCCTTTCGTGGGACACCCCCAGCCTGGGACCAGTGGGGGCTGGCAGGAGCACAAAAGGGCTGTGCAGGGCACGAGGGTCCTGCTGCGGGAAGGAAACCCGTTCCCTTTTCTCTCTGCCCTCTTCCACCCTGCAGCGCCTCGCCGTCTGCGTTCGGCCGGAGAAGACAGGCACGAGACGCCCAGGCCGAGGCGCTGCGCATGTCACCGGTCCCATAACCCGGTGGCACGACCAGGGGGCACAGAGGCTGCTCTTCGGCTTCAGTTCCGTGCCACAAAGCCACCGGGCAGACAGAAGAGAAGCCGCCAGCGCCAGTCCTCGCAGCAAACCGGCCCCGTGCCTGCCCCCGGCTGTGTCGCCTCCGGAGCCAGCGCGGTGTGGCGGGCGCTCCGCTGCTGCCCGCTGTGTCTGTCCCCTTCCAAAGAGAAAAGAAAGCCCTGGCTGTGAGCGAGGCTGCGTGCTTTTGGGATCTGTGGGGCCCATTCCTTCCCCGAACTCCATTTTGGGGGTGAAGTGCGGCTCTCTGTGGTGTATCACTGGTCATTGCTGACCATGCACCTGCTCCTGAGCAGCCCCCTTGGTCAGACCCCTCACCGGGACCCCTTGGTCTGACCCCTCAGCCGGGACCCGCTGGCTCCCTGCAGCACCCCAGGGACCCCACCACACGTTGTGGTTTAACTGGAGCGGTACTGGTGGGGCCACCTGGCTCTGCCCTGGCCACCAGCCCCTGGGTCTTGCCCCCCACTGCTCCGGGCACCCTTTGGAGGCTGCTGGGGCCCGTGTCCACCCTGAGCAGGGAGAAGTCACCCCCAGGGACTGCGGCCAAGAGCTGGGGGCATAGGGGGTCGGGGGGGGGGGGCACAGGAGGAGAGGGACAAAAGGGGCTGGGGGCGCACGGGATGGGGGGGCCCTGGATCAGATCACACGGGGCTGGGGAAAAACGGGGGAAAGGGAAGGGAGGAAAAGGGCTGGGGACAAAGGGGGCTGAGGGGCACGGGACAAAGTGGGGGGGGCACGGCCCTGACCCGCCCCGCTCCGGTCCCCCCCCGGCAGGAAGAGGCGGAGCAGGGCGGATGCACAAAGGCGGGGCCGTGCCGGGCCGTTCCGTTCCGTTTGGGTCCATTTGGGGCCGTTTGGGGCTGTTTGGGGCCGGGGGGGTGTCAGGATGCCGCTGTCGGCGCTGCGGGGCTGGGCTCTGGCCGTGCTGGCGGCCCTGACCCCGGCGGAGCGCAGCCGGCCCTACGCCGTGCTGCAGAAACAGAACCTGGGTAAGGAGAAACAACGAAATTCAAGGGCTGGGAGGGGGGAAAAAAAAGCGATAAAAGGGTAAATGGGAGCGAGCGGGGCCGGGGGGGGCTCGGAGCCTAACGTGTGGCCTCCCTCGCAGTGCTGCTGGGCAGCATCCTCAGCGCGCTGCTGCTCACCATCGTGCTCGTGGCCGTCTGCGTCTACAAACCCGTCCGCAGGCGGTAGCGGCCCCGGCGTCGTGTGTGCGGCCCCGCCCGGCTCTGGGATTCACACCTCGGGATTCAGCACAACCTCTGGAACCAGTGGTGGAGCGCTCACGGCTTCAGGTGGTGTCTGGTGAGGGATGGATGCTCTGCGCCCACGTCCCGGGGCTCCCCGCTGCCATCGCTGTCCTGGAGGGCACCGCTTGGCATCGCCGCCCGGCCATCAGCTCACGCTGCATCAGGTTGTTCTGTCCGGTGAACTCGGCTCCTTGCTCGGAGGCTGCACTGGAAGGGGCTCGGTGCAGCCTTCCAGAAGCCTCGAGGACCGAAGCCGAGCGAGCGCCGGGGGCTGCGTGGAGCAGGAGCGCGCCCACCTCCGGGCAGCGGCACTGAGGCACGAGCAGAGGCCGGCCTGGCCGCTCACACCAGGCTTGTCCTAGCCTCAAGCAGCCCTGCAGCAGCCTCGGTGAACCCACGGCTCCCCAGCCCTCGCCCCCCGTGGGAGATGCGCTCCTGGGTGTTGGCTGGGGGTCGGGGAGCCCCCGGTGTCTGCCGGAGCACGAGGCTGCTGGGCTGTGGCTGGCTGGGCGCGCTTTGTGCTTAGGCTGCCCAGAGCCATTCTATGCATTTCTGGCAACAAATTCAAGTGTTTACACTGAAATCTCACTTGCATACGGATGCTGCTATTTTGTTTTGCACTGCTGTGAGTAGTAACTGGATTTTGCTTATGAAGTATTACTTTGATATTTAACATAGGGGGTTTGGGGCTAGTAATTTATTTCAGTATTTTAAAACCTTACTTCCAGAGCCAATGTGTTGACCAACTCTCTAAAACCTTGTGCTGCATCTGATGTTTTCTGCTGTTAGTCTCAAAGGACACTGGCTCCTCTTGGAACCGGGGATTTTCTTTGCTGCTGTTACTAAATGAGGCCAGCCTAGGACAGTTCTCGTTTCTAATCCAAGTGAAAGACGAGTGAGGGAGCAAGCTAACTGTAATATTTCTTTCTCATCTTTTCCTTTCTTGGTTGCAGAGTCCTTTATCACTGTTTTTCCCCTGAATCCTTCAGTTGTTGTAGAGCTCTGCCCGTAGTCATGTGCTGCTCACAGGTGGAGGAGGATGGTGTAGCTCATAGCTACAGCTCCTCGTCCCTGCAGCAGTGTTCCTGTTTGCATTCATTCTTCACTCCCTGCTGTGTGTCTCTGTACAAATAAAAAGCTAAGTAAACAATCCAGGACTCCTTTATTTATTCACAGCTGTTCTGCTTGTTATTAACTCTGCTGTAGCTGGATGAAAGGCTGAGGCAGTCCCGCTTCCCAGCCTCTGCTGAACTTGCAGTTAACAGAGGGGTAAGAAGTGTAAGGGAACAGCAGTGATTCTTGGAGCTGTGTGAAGCCCCTGGCTTGTGGATGCTCAGTGGTGAGGAACTGAGGAAGTGAATTGAAAGTGAAAGCTCATCCTGCAGCCCTAGTGCAGTTAACTGAACCTTACCTGTTAGCAGTGTCTACTGCAGCTACAGAGATTGTATTTTGAATCAAAACCCAGCCAAGGCTGTGAGAAGAATTGCCAAATTAAACACATCGTGAATTTGTCCAGAACAAATACTGCACAGAGGCTTAGGGGATAATTTTTACCCGTGCTGTAAGATGCGAGGCAGGGTTTCAGAAAAACAGTACCTATACTGAGAAAGAAGAACCTTCTGTCTTAGAAGAAAGGGTGAAAATGTCAGTTTGTTTTTGTTTTTTTAATTTTTAATACAATGCCAGCCAGAGAAGAATGAATGTAACAAAACTGAAACAGCTCAGTCTTCAGTTTATGACATACAGAACAAAGGAAATCAGCTTGAAATATTACTTCTTCCTTGTAGCCTTTGAAATGCTTCAGAGAAAAAAAAGCAACATCAGACAGACGCTCTTACAAAGGCAACAGCACTCTTTATTTCCGCTGAAGGAAAAAAAAAAACAAAACATAATTTCACCTTCTACCTCACAACTTTGTCAAGAGCTTACTGCAAGGCTTTTTCCCTTTTTTTTGGGATTGAGAAAGTCACAGTAATCCTCTTCGTAAAGAAAGATGCGGTTCCAACACAGACCACTGCCCCCGTGCAGGACAGTCACATTCAGCGTTGCTGCAGACACCATGTAAGCTATTTATGGTTGCAAGCTGTATCATTAAACAAATACGGTGCAGATATACCAGTTCTAGTGTACAATTTTAGTTGCCCGCTACATAAAACAATGGATTATTGGTTTAAAATAGAGTTCCAAGTTACCAACCATCTCACTGGTTAAGATCAAGTCTATTTGAGAGTGATTTTAAACTAGTTAATCGTTGGTGACACAGAACTGCCCTGTTTTGCTCAAGGAGTAAGTGCAGGATTAGGTAGCAAGATCAGACCATATGTACCATAGGTTCTTCACCCTTCTGCCAGCCAGAACTGAGGAGTATTGCTCACATTTAACTACTATAAGGCTTTCCTGTGGACGTACATACATTGTGTACTTGTGGAGTGCACTCGAGAGTCACAGTGTAAGTACTGTAAACACTGACAGAAGTGCAGATAAAATACCTACAAATATACCCTATGTCTAAAGACCTGAGGAAAGCTGGTTAAAATGTGTTTTGGAACTGTTACAATACCATTTCAATGAGCGTAGTCATATTGGCTTGTTCTAAAATCAATAAAAAGATTCAGATAAAAAAATATATGTATTCACATGAAGGATAAGCATTTGGATTTTAAAAAGCAATACACATTTCCCTTTCAGATGACAAAATTAAAATTCATCTTCCAATAAGTATACATTAAAATTTCACCTGAAGTTTCTCCTATTTGAAGTTAGCACCCATATACAGGCACGCACACATGCACATGCACACACACCGAGTGATCTCAAGAAGCACCTGGATCTATCACTTATTTTCTTGCTGCCCTCTGACTATGGGAACTAGCTGGTTTTGAATCACTGCAGAAACTGCTACTTTACTAGGCAGATGGTCCCATTTTAGGATCTAAAGTTTTACTGGCTACTTGTTTTGTCCTATTTCAGAAAGCACTGGTTTAATCTTGAGCTTGGATTAGCTGTTCAAGTATAAAATTATTCCTCTTAAGCAGGAGCACATGATAAAAATCTCAGTAACTAGAGAAGAAAAAAGATCACAAAAACAAAACTAACAGAAAATATCTGTCAGCATGGTATACCGTCAGCATGAAAAACTACTGTAGGTGTATATGTGTGAAAATGCATATAGATAACTCTTCCACATAACGACTGGAAGGAAGAGACAATGGCTTTGAATTATTCAGAAATGACTAAGCAGATGAGTATTTCTTTGGTAAGTAATGAAGTTTCCCTCTTGAACTCCCCATAAATCACGTTTTCAAACTTTACTGCAATCTTAAATCCTGATGCTAAGCAAAATTTCCACCTGCTCTTCAATAAATATGCATAGGTAAAAACTTACTTGACAGCTAAGGCTGCACAGATGGGCAGCCAAATACAGATGCCCATGTTCTGAAACTCCCTCAAAAATAAAAATAATAAAAACCAGTTGTTGTAGCTGCTGCTGATGACAACTAAGAAGGCAGGTGAAATATTCACTTAAGCAATCAAGGAGTGGTCTTCAGACTGAGAGCTCTGAAAGCCTTCAGTTTTACACAAATTTGGTCATCCTTATTTCAGGAGATCACTAAGGAGTTACTTTTCCACGAGAGAAAGCTGTAAAACTTGCTGAAGCTCTGCATCTTCTTCTTCACGGCGTTGCTTTCTCCCGTTCTTCCTGCTCTCGGACAGACAGCTCCATGGCAAGCTGCAAGTCTTTTTCAAAACTGTTTGGTTCACTGGGGGTGCTGCAGCATGAATTACCTGTGCTTGTTAGATAGCTCTCCTGCAGTGCCCTGAGGAAAGAAAAAGAAATTCAAGTAGAAAGAGAGAGAGAGAGAGCTTATTTCATGTTTCCTCCTGCAATGATCCTCCCTAGCAACTGTATTCAAACTGCAAATCCAAATTGCTCTCTGAAAGGGCAGAAAGCAGCTCTCAGGATAGGAGTTGTTCTAACAGACACAGAGTTCCCAATATAAAACCTGTTCTTTGAAGCTTCCTCAGAATCTTTCATACATACTAACAGTTTTCAACAGGCTTCTAGAAGTATTCCCTCATGGTTTAAAGGTAACAATTTCCATATACAAAAGAGCCAGGAGGATGCAGTTTTTCACCTGCACAAAGATTTCTTCACACTTAGCTGCAGGAAGACCCCAAGGATACTATAGCACTCTTGAGGGTCTAAATATAGGTTACCACGTTTTTAAGGATTACATAATGATTTTGAAAATAAGAGCCACCTTGAAGAGGCAGTATTCAATATACAAACACTTGAGCCAGAAGGACCAATTCCAGTTTTAAGAGCAGAGCAGAAGGGATGTGTTTACTGGGTGGGTGAAGAATCAGTTGTGTCTGCAGGCCAGTTCTGTTAACTGAGCTAAAAGGGACACAGAATATAAACTAGGGAAACCCAGTCTGGAGTTCTCACTTCTTGAAAAAGTAAAAATTAGAAGCAGCACAGGAAAAGAGACCTTGAATTCTAAATATCTGTTACCTGTGTCAAAGGGGAAAAAAAAAAAAAGGAAGTGCAGAATTGCTTCATACTACTGTTAGAAGTATTTTTGCTCCACCACAGCGTTTTTGACATGAAAAAGACAAATAGTTACCTCTGATACTGTATATTGAAGTCCTGTGAATATGCAACTGCTCCATTGGAATGCATCCCCACTTCCTAGAAATGGAAAGAGGGACAATGCCACAGGATTTAACAGATTTGTAGTGCAAATCACTGAAAAGGAAAGCTTTAAATCACTCATTTCTTCTTTGAAATGCATTTCTGTATTTTTTCCTTCTCTGAAGTTCTTGGAAAAATCCATCCTACACAACACTTTCCACACATTGGTTCAGTTCAGAGATACAGCTATTGCTGCATTGTGAAAACTCAAATCTGCATGGAGCAGATTACAGCATACTTACTTTATTTCCACTGGATTCCAACAAACTCTGCTGAATAGCAAACTGCATGATCTCGTTATCTTCATCCTGCACGTGTATGTTCCTGCCATCATCTTGGACATGGTAAGATTTGGGGATCTCAAACACCGACTGGTCAACCTCAAAATTAGCACCTACAGAAGCCAAATATAGTTCAGAAACACAGCACAATATGTTTTTGCAAGTTGTTAATCAAAAAATTCTGATAGATGTTTATAAATGCTTAATTTAGCTCTGAAAAAAATTGGATAAACCCCTTGGCTACATATACACAGAGGCTTTGAAAGACTTAAGTGTCAAACAAGCACAATGGTAAGACATTTGACACCTGTGTTTGATTCTCTGCAGTTAAACCATCTCTGCTGTGCACTCCACTGACAGAAATGTAAGAAGATGTGATCACTGCACATTTCCATTCCTTACCTGAATCACACTGTGCACCTCCAGCCATCTGTGATGTTTTCTCAGCTGTCCTGCAGCCATTGACGTTTTCAAAAGTAATTCGGGCATTCAGCACATGAAATAGGGGAATTTCTATAAAAAAAAAAGTAGAAGACTTCTATCAAAAAGAGAATTCTGTCATTCACTTTCACACCTGCAGCCATATCAAACCCTTACAGGTTTATGGAATATATTCCACAAGCAGCATGACATGATGACAAAGCAAAGTGCAACTCACTTCACCAAGAAGTTGCCCTTACTCATTCACACTCTGCCTCTATATCTCAGATTAATGTAAAAATACCAAATCAAAGGCATTCAAGCCAAGAGGAAAGGGTGAGCAACAGCTCATTCATACTGAAATGATACCGTCTTTAAAATTATACTTCTGTACTGGCTATAACTTGGATTCAGTGATCCCAAACATACAAGATAACATATCCGGGTTTTTGGTTCTAGACATGGGCAAGATGACTAGTAAAAAACTAAAATTGTTTTTTGTAAATATACATTGCAAAACCCATAAAAAGAATGGAAATGAAGATGCTAGAACAAAAATTGCTACACGTTACCAATTTTGACAGGGAATCCTGGTGGAAATTCCAGAGTGATGAAATCCTTAAGCCTGGCAAAATGAGCACTAGTTCTGGCCATCAGATCAATGATCGGAGTGACTTGTTCCATAAGGGACAAGGGAAACTCTTCACTCATCCACAGGGTTGCTTTAAACCTGAAAGAGTAAGTTGTATAAAA